TCCACCTTCGGTTGTTCTTCAAGCTTTGAAGCTTGAACCTCCATTGAATCATCCATTGCTGTGAAGAACCTCAAGAGAAGAACGGACTAAGCATGGTTTAACTTGAAGAACATCAATCTCCTTCAAGTAGTTCCATCATTTTTGGTATGTAGAGCCTTGGTGCTCTTGAGGTTATGTGTCTTTTTTACTTATCTTGAATCCGTGTTGTTTCTTCCTTATTCTTTGTCAAATTTGTGTTTTCTGAATGGATCTATATTTTCTACATATTATTGATGGATCCAAATGTCTCATGAGTTGATTGATTCATTGTTTTTGCTTGTTTCTTTATTCTTGAATCAATCCGGTTCTAACCTAGGTTTCTTTGTGCTTGGGTGTTTTGTGTTTACTTGAGTCTTCTCCATTCTATAACATGACTCTATGATTGGACAACATCATATAGTATATGTTTTTGTTTTTGAATGATATGTTTTGTCTAGAGTCATGTGTAGTCCTTTGAATGTCATTGAATCCTAGACTAGCTTGTTGAACCTTAATTTTTTTGTTGTTTTGTGTCTATTAATTGGTGTGGTTTTTTGCTTTATAAATCTGAACCTACCTAAATGTGCTTTTGATTTACATCTTTGAGTTCTTAATTTGCTATTAGTTCTAGCAAATTTCATAGAGTTAGGTTTCTTTTATGTCACACTAAAAAAGTTTGTCAAGAAAATTGTTAAACACACTTCCTATTAGGTTTCCTTGAGTCTTTGTGTTGTGGCTGAAACTTGTAACACTTTTTAAAGCATAAAAACAGAGGTAAAACAGAGTTATAATTGTGCTTAAATCCTTGGAAAAACAAAAGAAAAGTGTTCTTGAATTTGACCTAAAAAAATAGTACAAAATTGTGAAGCACTAGAAAAACAATTTTACTAGTATACCTCTTGTTTTGTGAAAAAAATTTGGCAGCATTTTTATTGCATTAAATCTGAGACTTAAACATGTTCAAAAGGCATTAAACTCCTGTACAAAAGAAAAAGAAAAGGTGCAAAAGAAGTTACAAAAAGAATCATAAAGAAAGAGTACAAGAAAAAGCCAAGGAGTTAAATTTTTTATGTACAATTTGCTCTCGGTTTTGAAATTTTGTGTTTGCTTGCCTTCAAAATTTTCTGTCCAGCCACATATTGATTTTATTGAGTCTTAATTTGTTTTGTAATATTCTTAGATTTTAGTTTTTAATCTAATATAGTGTCATCGATAGGTTTTCTCTTTGTGTGCTAACCTTCTTTGGTGCCTTATTTTTAGCTTGTCTTTTGTGGAACTCTTTCTAGTCTTGTCTCATTTAAGCTCTACCACTTGGTGTATCGTTTCCTAATTGTGCTTTTTTGAGTATTTGCTATATAACTCCAGCAACTTAAGGTGTGTTGAGTGCCTCTTTGAAGGTGTGGAAAGCCAAGTACAAGGGTAGCATCTTGAAGTGTTTGTGGAAGCCTAGGAGATTGCTATTCTCTTTGGTGGAAAGCTCTTGGTAGCAGAACAAACACCTAGGAATAACTAACATCAAGGTTATTCCTAATAGAGGAGGGACATACTTGGAGAGGTTGTTGCAGCTGGAAAATATTGGAAGAACACAATAAAAGTTTTTGAGAAAATTTTGTGAAAACTAGAGACTAGTTTAGAGACAGAAATTTTTTGTCTCAAAATTTTTCCTTGTAAAATCCGTCTCTAAATTTGTCACTAAATTAGTGGCTGATTTTGTTTTCTTAAAATTAAGTGAAGCCACTACTTTCATTTAGTGTGAATTTTCATTTCATTTGGTGTGAATTTACATTTCATTTGGTGTAAATTTGCATTTCATTTGGTGTAAATTTGCATTTTATTTTTTGTAAATTTTTCAAATTTTTTTCATTATTTGTACAAGGCCTTTTAGGAGTGTCTTGGAGTGCCTTTGGTGTATCTCCATCTCTCTTTAGTGTTTTCAATTAAGGTAATTTCGTTTAGAGCTTGTGAGAGAGGTCCTTGGAAGTCTTTGGTACTTTCCAAGCTCTCACTTAGGTTTATAGTCTTATACGCCTAGTTTATGTTTTCTTTTCTTTAATTTTTCAAGCAATTTATGTTTTAAGAAATTTATGTTTTCAGCAATTTAAGTTTTCAAGCAATTTATGTTTTCATGCCATTTATGTTTTCAAGCAATTTATGATTTCAAGCCTTGATTAATTGTACACATTAGGCACTTGTTTGTTTTTTTTTTTCTTTTGAAAAGATCTTTGTGAAAATTGTTTTGTGCAAGAAAAGTACAAGGGGGTTTAGAGATTTTTACTTGAAGAGGCTTGGTTATTAAGTGACTCTTTGTAGCTCACCTCCCTCCATAGTTCAATTTGTACTCTTAGACCTCTAGGTGCCAAGTCAAGCACTTCAAAAAAATATTATTTTCCTTAAAAATTATTTTTGTGTGAAAATACTTTTTGTTTAAAAATGTCTCAAAACTCTGACTATAGTGAAAGTGATGGCTCTCCAAAAAGTCTTTCTTATATCACTAAAGAGCTAAAATCACTTAAACTATGGAGGAAGCAAGAAGCCATTCAAAAATAAAAGGATAAAATTGAAAGAGAGGCTCAACTTGCTATCCTTGAAGAGGATTTGAGGATTCTTAGACAAGAAAAGGGAAAACTTAAAGAAGAGATGAGAAAACAAAAGAGAAGGAGTAGGAGCTCACACTCTCAATATTCTTCTCCCAATGAGAGTCTAAACATGGGAAACCACTATCAACCTCCTCCTAGGAGAACCATTAAGCCTAGGGGAGTCAAAGTTGACCTCCCACAATTTTTTGGAAAGGATGATGTGGAGTTATATCTAGATTGGGAGATGAAAGTTGAGCAACTCTTTTCTTGCCACAAGGTGAGTGAAGAGAGGAAAGTCTCTCTGGCTACCCTTAGCTTCCAAGGGCATGCCATGTATTGGTGGACGACCTTAGAGAGAGAGAGGCGCTCCCATAATGACCCTCCTGTCCAATATTGGAATGATCTTAAGAGTGCCATGAGGAGGAGGCATATTCCCACCTATTATGGAAGGGAGCTTATGAATAAGCTTCAAAGGCTCCAACAAAGAGATATATGTCTGTAGAACAGTACAGTCAACAAATGGAGCTTTACATGATGAGGGCTTGCATTAGAGAAGAGGAAGCTACGACTGTAGCTAGATTCTTGAGTGGTCTTAATTTAGAGATAAGAGACCAAGTGGAGCTACTACCCTACAGGGACCTAAATGACTTTATCCAACTTTGTGTAAAGGTAGAACAACAAAAAATGAGAAAATACTCTTTTAAAAGAGAAAGCTCCCACTCTTCATCTCTAAAGAAAGACTACATGCGGGAGGGAAAGTATATTGAAAAGAAAAAAGTTTTTGAACCCTCCAAGGACCTAGTTAGAGAAAAAGACAAAGGAAAAGGGAAGGTCACTCCACACACTAGTTCTAGGACTAGTGATATTAAATGCTTTAAGTGTCTAGGGAGAGGCCACATTGCCTCCCAATGTCCCACAAAGAAAGTTATGATTATGAGGGGACATGACACTTATAGTAGTCAAGAGGAGACTACTACTTCCTCTAGTGATAGTGAGGAAGAAGCAAGTGAGCATGAGGAAAATGTGGAGGTTACTTTTCCTTATGAAGGGGAGTTCTTAATGATTAAGAGACTCCTCAACAACCAACCTAGTGGTACCCTATCACAAAGAGAGAACATCTTTCATACAAGATGTAATGTTTTAAACAATGCTTGTTTTCTCATTGTTGATAGTGGATCATAGTGCAACTGTTGTAGTATTAGGCTGGTTGAAAAGTTGGACTTGACTACTAGTCCCCATCCTAAACCTTATCAACTTCATTGACTTAATGAGAATGGTGACTTAGTAGTTGACCAACAAGTAAAGGTCAAGCTTTCCATTGGGAAATATGAAGATGAGGTGCTATGTGATGTAGTACCAATGGAAGCTTGTCATATCTTACTAGGAAGGCCATGGCAATTTGATAAGAAAATCATGCATAATGGCCTTACTAATGAGATATCCTTTACACATAAAGAAAAGAAATTTGTGCTTCATCCTCTTACTCCTCAACAGGTGGTAGAGGATCAAGCAAAAATGAAACTCAAAAGAGAAAGTGAGAAAAGATTTCAAAAAAAAAGAAGAAAAGAGAGAGAAAAAAAAGTCCATGAAAAATAAGAACAAAGAGAATTCTAGAGAGAAAGGAGTACCCTCTCTAGAAGTTGTTAATCAAGAGAAAAACATTTCAATACAAACTCTCTTGATTAAACAACCCTCTTTTATCCTTCTATGTACAGGGACTCTAACTTGCACTACCACATCTATTGGACATGAGACTCTACCTAAGGGGGTCAAAATTCTTTTGAAAGAATTTGATGATCTATTTCCTCTAGAGGGTCCAATGGGCCTTCCTCCTTTAAGAGGAATAGAACATCAAATTGATTTGGTGCTTGGGCCTAGCCTACCCAATATGCCAACCTATAGGACCAACCCCCAAGAAACTAAAGAGATAATGGGCCACTAAAAATAGCTAATTTGGGCTTTTGGGCCCCTGACGTCCTATCTTGTTGTTTTGTGCCTCCCAGACGAAATTGGGTGTCTACAACGACTTCCACTACATCAAGAGTATTGTGATTAACACAACCAGGTACGAGGGGAAAAGGATTATTTGTATGCAAGTCACATGATGGAATTGGGTAGAGGAATAATCCCGTAGGATTATGGGTAATTTTATAATTATTTCTATTTGAAGAATTGATGATCCCATTAAATTTTGCTTGTATTGAAGAGTAAGAATATGCAAATAATTTGTAAAAATGAAGATTTGGGAGAAAGAACAAAATTGTAAAAAAGTGTCCATGAGTTAGGTTTTGGAAAAATTGAGAGTTTTACTATTTGAGTTAAGATTCTAAAAAATTGATGATTCAATCGAGTTTTATATTAATTTATAAATGTGATTGTTATATTATTTGGTAAAATTGATGATCTCGGGAAGCCTATTATACATCCATGCTCGATGTGTTGACATTTCTATGTTCAAATTGACTCCAAAATGACTAGGAGACAAGAATCAAACAATAAATTCTCAATCTCAAAAGGTTATAATAATGAAAAACAACAAAATTAAAAGCATACCTCTAACATAAAGTAAAATATATTTTAAAATATATTATTGAATATTTATATCTAATAATAACAATTAAAAGAAAATAAAATACAACAAGAGTAAATAAATTAGAAGCAGGACTATAATTTGGAAGTTAAGGAGGGAAACATACCTCTAATAGATAATTAAAAGCATCTAAACATCCAAACTATCATAAGGCACTTCATGGTACTGCATTATAAACTTAGATAATTAGAACTTTATCTTTGAGTACTACATAAACAAAATAAAAGTGGCCTAATAAAAAGGTTAATGACATAAGAAATAGAAAAAAAGTAAACACTCCTTTTAATTACTCAATTTAAAAGATGTTATTATATTAATTTTTAAAATTTACAAGATCCACTACACGAAGGGCAGTGTTTTAACAAGAACATTTATTGCCATATCTTTTTTAAAAAAATTACTTATATCTAGAAGTATAAAGAAAAGAAAAATGAATTAATATAATTTAGCAACTTAAAATGAATAAGTATTCGATATTTTTGTTATTAAAATTGTGAATAAAATGATTAAATAAACTTTATCTTACGTAAATTGAAGAAAATTACGTAGATATGTGATTTATAGCAGTAGTTTGCTGTCACCACTGCCTAGTTTTCTTTCCTATCCATTTAACATTTATTTTATAATGAAAATGAGCTCTCTTCATCTTACAGTGTCCCACTGAAATAAAAATAATTAATGTATTTTTTAAATTAATGATATAAGTGAGATATATAGTTACAAGGAATTATGAGTTTGGTCATAAATCATTCATCCAGTAGGTAAGGAATACAAGGAATTAATCATAATTTATTTTGACAAATTCTAGCTTCTACTACTCAATACCCGGTTCCCTCTTTTAGGCTTTCCAGAAATACATTCAATTAAAATACAACAGAAAAAAAATCATGTAATAGCAAACAGCTCAACTCACAAGACAATCCTAAACTTCTTGCACCAAGGCCAGGATCCAGAAAAACCACCTATTATAACCATTATATATTTAACTTTTCTACTAAAAAGAAAATGAGGAACTATTCTGCAATGGCTCACAATAATAGACAGATATATAATCTAAAGATAAATTACTAAAATTCTCATACAGAATAAAAGTAAAAACATGTTTTGATATTTAATATAGAATTATCGAGAAGGTTTTATTTAGACTGAAGAGTGAAGACAGCCAGAAGGTTACACATACATGATCAGGAGCCATAATTAAGATTTGGAGATCAAGTATACTGAAAACTTACAGGCGTATGACAAATTTTGATTTTCCTTCAACATCGTGTACCAATGGAGTCCTGCAGTTATACAGATGCTTTGAGTCACATTGTAGTGAAACAAAAAAAAAATCTATATTATACTTATACCAATAGCAAAACCATATGAATTATTGACAATATATCATACCTTGTGAATTTTTCATATGAAAACCATATGAATTTTTGTTTCATTTATTAAGAGTGTCAGCTACATGCCATTATTTGTCTTTAACCTTGGTTCCCACAAAATTGTAAAAAAGTGTCCATGAGTTAGGTTTTGGAAAAATTGAGAGTTTTACTATTTGAGTTAAGATTCTAAAAAATTGATGATTCAATCGAGTTTTATATTAATTTATAAATGTGATTGTTATATTATTTGTAGCTGATGCCCTTTCTAGGAGACATGCTTTACTAGTCTTCCTTGGTTCTCAAATTCTGGGATTTGATCACATTAAGAAGTTGTATTCCAATGACTCTGAGTTTAATGATTATTACACCAAGTGTTTGGCAAAGCCTCAAGGAGGTTTCTATATTTCTGAGGGGTACTTGTACAAAGAAGGAAGAATATGTATACCCCAAGGATCTACTAGAAAACTCCTTGTGAAGGAAAGTCATGAGGGTGGTCTCATGGGGCACTTTGGAGTTCAAAAGACTCTAAGTTTTCTAAAAGAAAAATTCTTTTGGCCCCACAAGATGAAGGATGTTGAGAGGTTTTGCACTAGATGTATAGCTTGCTTGCAAGCAAAGTCTAAAGTAATGCCCCATGGCTCTTATACACCCTTATCAGTTGCTAACTCTCCTTGGGTTGATATAAGTATGGACTTTATACTAGGCTTGCACATGACCCAGAAAGGCATGGATTCTATCTTTGTGGTAGTGGACAGATTTAGTAAAATGGCCCATTTTATACCATGCCACAAGATAGGTGATGCAAGCAATATAACAAGACTCTTCTTCAAGGAAGTGGTTAGACTTCATGGTCTACCCAAGACAATTGTGTCAGATAGGGACACTAAGTTCCTTAGCCATTTTTGGGAAACTCTGTGGAGTAGGCTAGGAACTAAACTACTTTTCTCAACTACTTGTCATCCCCAAACTGATGGGAAAATAGAAGTAGTTAATAGATCCCTATCTACCATGTTAAGGGCAGTCCTTAAAGGTAACCATAAATCTTAGGATGAGTATTTGCCCCATATTGAATTTTCCTACAATAGGGTAGTCCATAAGACTACCAAAATCTCACCATTTGAGGTTGTTTATAGTTTTAACCCTTTCACTCCTTTGGACCTAATACCCCCACCAGATTCTTCTCATTATTTTCATTAAGAAGGGGTATCTAGGGCTGATTTTGTAAAGAAATTACATGAGAAGGTTAAAACTCATATTCAACAACAAAATGAGAGAAGTGCTTTAGAAAGAAGCAAAGGCAAGAAAGACCTCATTTTTGAAGAAGGAGATTGGGTTTGGCTTCATTTGAGAAAGGAAAGGTTTCCTTCTCAAAGGAAGTCTAAACTCAATTCAAGAGGATATGGTCCTTTCCAAGTCCTACAAAGGATCAATGACAAGGCTTATAGGTTAGATCTCCCCCGTGATTATGGAGTAAGTAACACTTTTAATGTTAATGATCTTATTCCCTTTGCAGGTTATGATAATGAGGAGGTCGTCCCTATAGATTTGAGGACAAATCCTTCTAAACTAGGAGGGGATGATGGACCATGGGCCAAGGGTCCAATCACTAGAGCTATGACCAGGTGCATACAGGAAGAGTTGGACAACTTGAAGACTAGTGGGCTTTCTAAGCCCAAGGTACTCTTCACTTGGACTACTCTATCATAAAGAGAAGGCCTAGTTCTAATTATATACAAATTGTACATAGTTTTCTTGTATAGGTTTATTTTTGCCTTTGTATTTGTGAGACACTTTATTTCCTTTTAATTCTCATTGTATAGTGTTTATAGGGTAGGTTACTTGGGAACTTTGACTCCATTTAACCTAACCTTGAAGTACATTCTTTTTCTATTTTTCAGTAGTAGGAGTGGGGGTGACAATTAGCAATACTTGAGGGTGTGATTAGTAATTGGGCCAGAATTGGGCCTAGGCAAAATTTTACATATTAGACTTGTTTTGCTCCTAATTTTTCAAGGATTTGATTTAGCTAGGTCTCATCAACATTGGATGAACCTAACTAAAACAAATCAACATTTTTCAAAAATCAGTTTGGAGCAAACTAGCCTAAATGGCCGCCTAGCCTTGGTTCCTCTTCACTCACCTAAGCTTGAGAAGCTTGTGCTACAAGCTTCTCCTTAGCTTGCTTCCCAAGCAAGCTAAGTGAGAAGCTTGCTCCACAAGTTTCTAGATTCACTTGGACGGTCAAGTAACCTTACCGTGGTTCCTAGTGAACCATGGTTAATGTTAGCTTGCTCCCTAAGCTACCTCTCCCTTTTTTTTTAAACCTTACCTTGTACCACACTTTTGACATAATTGAGAAATAGAATTCAGAATTCTCTCTCAACTCAAGAGTCTAATTTTTGTGGAGAATTGTCTTCTCCTAGAAGCTTCACAAAGGAACTTCTCCTTTGTGCTAGGTTCCTCAAGCTTCTCTCCTTCAAGAGAAACCGAGCCACCTTTGGTTGTTCTTCAAGCTTTGAAGCTTGAACCTCCATTGAATCATCCATTGTTGTGAAGAACCTCAAGAGAAGAAGGAACTAAGCATGGTTCAACTTGAAGAACATCAATCTCGTTCAAGTAGTTCCATCAATTTTTCATTGTTGCACAATTATCTCACTTTCGGTGATTTCATTGTCGTACAATTATCTCACTTCGGGTGAGAGAATATCCTTTTATTTTCATTGTTGCACAATTATCTCACTTCTGGTGAGAAAATATTCTTCTCACTTCTGGTGAGAAAATATTCTTTTCATTATTGTACAATTATCTCACTTCTGGTGAGAAAAAATTGCTTGAAATTTCTTGATTTGACAATGTCTTCTGGATCATTGCAAAATCGTTATATATGTATATATATATATATATATATAACATTCATGGAGAATTATACAATTTTACAACACATATCATTCACGGAGAATCATTTAATTTCAAAACCATGCTCTGATACCACATGTAAGTTCTATGATTTTCTAATACATCAATTACAGAAAATTAAAGGATCTTTGAAATTTATGATACTCACATAATAATAAGAAAGTGTGTACCTTTCTCCATAATGGAGATCTCTTTTGATCCTTAGAGTGATTTGATCTTCTTGAGAAGAGAATCAAGATGTCACTCCCTTTGACTTTTCTTTCTACTCTCTCTATCTTTCTTGATGGCTAGGGTTTGAGAGAATACTTTCTATCAGGGGTCCTTGTCTCACATTAGTGGATATTTATAACCTCTAAAGATTGCTATTCCCATCAAATAACAATTATTCTCATAACTACTCCATTAAATCCATTTATGATTTAGTCTTTAATTATTTAATTATTAGCCCTTTATATATCACATATTTTCCACATGAGACATAATTATCTTACATTTTGTTCAAACAAAGGTGAAGAAAGAAGGACGACAAGAAAAATACTTTGATTTTTATACTGGATTACTTAATCTACGCTACATCTAGTTACCTTCGAAGTTGAAGGGTTCCATTAATTTCAAAAGTTTTACAAGTAAGTATTCTTATTGCCACTTATGACTTTCAAACACAACAACCGATTGTAATATTCTTTAGCTAGCCACTTCATACTTGCAAGGAAGTAAAGAAGGTTTATGTTTACTAGATAATTTTCACATAAAAAATATATAAATTGAGGACATTGAGAGAAATTTACTTGCCAAGTCAAGGATAGGTTTTTCTCTTCCCACTAGCTTAGTTTTATTTTAATTTTTAGAGGTTTACTCTCATTATAACATTGCAATGGAGCTTAGATGACTTTGAAGTTTGAACTTTAGCTTTTTATAAAGAAAATAATAATAATTTTGCTCACCAACACTGTTAAGATGTCACATGTTGCATATTTTTTTTCCTTTATCTCCCAATAGTTGTTTGAGGTTTTGTTTTTTCAGCTTTTCACATATATCTTCGTAACTAATAGAATTACTTTATGAATCATAAAAATTTAATATTGTTAGTCACTTAGCCTCAATTAACTTAAGAGGGGGTGAATTAAGTTTTCTAAATTTCCTCTTCTAAAAACTTTTCCAATTACTTTCTTATCAAATTTAATTCCTTAGATAAATTTATATGTAAAGAATGAATGATGATGCAAACTACACAATTACAATTAATAACAAGAAATTAAAAGTGTAAGGAAAGAAGAATTGCAAACTTGATTTTATACTGGTTCGGCCAATCCTGCCTACATCCAGTCCTCAAGTCTCCCACTTGAGATTTCCACTACTCTTTTAAACCTTACAAGAATTGAATCCTCCAACACCTCGGAACTCCCTTTCCTTGTGTTGAGATTCAAACACCAACAAGGAGAAAAACCCTTTCTCCTTTACAGATCCAATGATCTATTAAGTATTACAGAATGACTCTCTTGAAGAGTGGATATTACACTTTCATGATCTTTGATGAACTCTTTAGAGATTTTGCAAATGATTTTGGCCAAGTGATTTGTAAAGATGATTTTCACAATAGAGTTCGTCACCTTTCTCTGAAAAATTATAGGTATTTATAGACAATTGTTTCTTAGGTTATGTCTTTTCATGAAGAGTTGTAACTTTCTATAATTTTTCAGAAAATAGGCTCTGGTAATCGATTACAAGACTTGGTAATCGATTACAACGGTTAAAGTTCAAAATGATTGAAACGTTGTATAATTTAAATTCAAATTTTGAAGTTTTATCTTCTGGTAATCGATTACAAGGGTCTGGTAATCGATTACCAGAACACATTTTGTATTCAGAATTTGAACTTTGAAATTTCCTGTTCTGGTAATGGATTACAAGGTCTGGTAATGGATTACCAGAATACATTTTTTTATTGTTTCAAAAACTTTTATGTAGAAAACTTCATCTCAATAATTTCTTTCACAAATCTCTTTTAAGAAATGATTTGAACTATTCTTTAAAGCTTTTGTTAAGTCTTTTGAAAACATTTTTACTTACTTTCAAAAGATTTAAAACTTGTTTA